CGCCGCAGTGCGCGCCGCAGCGGGCGCGGCCTGGGCTGACCCGGCGGGGCGACCTTGAGGGGGTGCGGCGCGGGTCCTGGGGTGTCTCGGCTGCGCCCTGCAGATGCTGGGAGCCCGGCGAGGGGCAGCGGGACGGCCTCCGGCCGCGGTCCTCGGGGCGGGGTGTGCTTTAGTGTCCCGGGTCGCGGTGACCCGAGCCCTGCTGGGAGCGACGGAGCGCCGCTCTGCGCTCTGATCCCGACCTTTCGGCCCCGCCTGGTGGCCCGAGCCTGCTCGAAAACTAGGGCCCTGACATTCCTGAGCTCCGTGAAGACGTTTATGTGTGGTGACGTTTCCTGCCACCTTGAGCACAGAATCATAACAAACGCCCCGCGTAGAGGTGCCCCAGATGCTGGCCCTGCACCGGAACTACGGGAAGCTCCCCTTTGAGTTGTCTGCACCTCCAAAATCCATGCCTGCTATTTATAAAAACCCTTTATTATTTTATCTATGTCTGCATGTGTGTAAGTGCACCCGTGTGGTACAGTGCCCTAGGAGGTCAGAAGAGGGTGTTGGATCCCCTGGAACTGGAGCTACGGGTGGTTGTTAGCCGCTGTGTGGGTGCTGGGACTCGAACCCGGATCCTCTGTCTAGCCACTGAACCATGTCCCCCCACCCCCCAAACCAGGCCTGTTGTAACAGGCATTTTGAGGGTGTTTCGCCAATGTTGAGTTTTACAGCCTCTGGTGGACCTTCATGTTGAGGGCGGTTCAGGTACTTGGGAGTCCTCGTGGGGCGCACCTTTCTGTAATGCACGACGTGGAGACACTGGTTTAACCTCTGGTATAACCTCTGGTAACCTGCCTTGAGCAAGGCTTCCTCAGACTCTTGGACTTGAACTGTGCAGGGCCAGGTGGTTTAAAAGCTCTCTGTTAGGAACACGGTTGTTGACATGGCTATTCTTGAATTTGGAAGCTAAGGATTCCTCGGGGTGACTGCTGACAGCCGTCCGGCTCCATTCCCAGTTCTCCTGGGGCTTTTACCCCCTTTCTTTGCTTCCTGGGTCTAGCTCCCGTGTGAGCAGGTCCTGGAAAGTGGTTGGGCAGGGAGGGCCCCGTTGCCTTCTGTTTTCCCTGTTGTCTTGAATTCTGTGGGCCTCCTTTGTTCCTAGGTCTGGGCGCAGTGCTCTGCTGGCTCATGGTCACCTCACCCTCAACTAGGACCTTTTCATTTGAAGTCTGTGAAGCAGATTTATCCCTTATGAAGAAGTTGCTTGATCTGAAGTGTAGGAATTTGCAGTTCGTATTCTCGAGCTTCCTCAGTGGGCTTGACCCCAGGTTTAGGGCCGGCATGCAGTCTGTTGGCATTTCTGCGTCTGCCTTCCTCAGAGAGAGCTTTGTTAGAGTTCCCCTTAACTTTAGCTTGTGGTAAACATTGTCAGTGCTGTGTGACCTGTCTGGCTCTTCTCTCCTCCTTGGGGTCAGCTGACACATGGAACCAGGGGTCCTGCCACTCATGGTGTGCTGTCTCTACTCTCCAGGACTCACAAATGAGGAACTGCATTTTTGTCGCAGAAAGATGTTGACTGAGTGTACCTAGTTCTACAGAGTATTATAAAGACGGGTCATTGCATACACTTTGTTTTATTTTACTGTTTTTTGAGACACGTCTGTAACCTTGGCTGGTCTGGAACTTGCAGTGTGGGCCTGGCTGGCCTCGATGACACAGAGACCACCTGCCTCTGATGAGATTAAAGGCGTGTGCCGCCAGGCCTGGCCTATTGCACCCACTTTGTAACTTGTGACTGTGACTGTTCTTCACATTTTAGAAATTGGGAAAAATATTCCATGTATTCTCATGTTTTCTTTATTTCTATAGCGTGAACTGGATTTGTGTTTTCTGTATTTCCACTCGGGGGTATAAAGGCAGAAATCTTCATTTGGAGAGAAGCAGCAAAACAATGGGATTGGTCAGAGGTGGAGT